AAGGTCAGGTCAAGGTCACATCAATTTTTTTAAATGGAACATCCCATTTTTCATTGCATATTCTTATAGCACATGCAATAAAAAATGGGGTGTTCCGTTTAAAAAAATTGATGTGACCTTGACCTGACCTTGGCGACGCTACTCAAGGTCAAACGGATGTGATCAGTAAATAGACCTTTTGAATCCTATAATTTTTGTCTGAAACACTTTTCTGTAATACTTATACTTTCCATGATATTCAGGTGTCCCGGAACTTTTTGGTTCACAAAAACACTGTATACAGAGTGGCCTATGTAAAGTGTTACAAGCTGTTATCTCTGAAAGTGTGTGTCAAATGACTAATATGTTCAGACAAAAGTTTTATAACTTTGAGGAGAGCATAAGATGGTAACATGACCTTGGGTAGCGTTGTCAAAGTGAGAGCAAGACTACTTTAAATTTTTTAAATGGAACTCCCCATTTTTTGTTACATATTCTTGTAGCTTACCTTGAGAGCTATCCAAAACACTATAATTGAGTTCATTTTCATTAAGTACTTTTCGAGTTATGAGACTTGAAAGTTACAATATTGCCGGCATTAGCATTACACAAGGTGTCCGACCGATGGCTAAAATCTCTTAAATGTTGTTCAGGATCATGTCCTGGGTAATATTTGTCAAGGATCAAGGCCATTGGAGGTTGTACCTCTTATTTTCATTTTTGTAAAAAATGAATTTTTAGTGCAAAAATGAAAATAAGAGGAATAATCTCCAATGGCTTTGATCTTGACAAATGTTATCCAGGACATGATCCTGAACAACATTCAAGAGGTTTTAACCGTCGGTCGGACAACTTGCGTAATGCTAATGCCGACTGTACTGTGACTTTAGAGTCTTATCTTATAACTCGAAAAATACTTAACGAAAAAATATTTTATTATAATGTTTTGAAAAGCTCTCGAGGTAAGCTACAAGAAAATGTAATAAAAAATGGGGGGTTCTATTTAAAAAATTCAAAGTGGCCTTGCTCTCACTTTGACAACGCTACCTAAGGTCAAACAAATGGTATCATCTTATGCTCTCCTTAAAGTCATAAAACTTTTGTCTGAACATATTAGTCACTTGACACACACTTTCAGAGATAATAGCTCGTAACACTTTACATAGGCCACCCTGTATATATATATATATATATATATGCAGGATGGCCCACGTAGTGTTACAAGCTAATAACTCTAAAAATATTTGTCCTATCAAAAAGTTGTTCATGAGAAAGTTTCATATATTCGAAGGGCCTTTCTAATTACGTAAACAAAAATCCACCCCCATCTCCCCTTGAAGAGGGACGGGGGGATAACTTCAAAGTTTCAAATGGGACCCCCTGTAAAATGTTACATATTTGAATTCTATAAAAACAAATAAACTTTGTCTGAAACATTTCTTTGGAAAATGCTCCTATCAAAAGTTATACACATTTAAACTTTAACGTAGAGTGTATTGAAATTAATGATAAATTAAATAAGACTCATAATTTTTCTGTTTTCTAATTTTGGTTTAGTTTTTTTT